ATCTTTACAAAAATGCCACTTTTTCAAAATTATTTTTTCTTTATATTATTTATGTTTGGGTTAATTATGTTCTATTAGGGTTTAGTTTTGAGTGTTTAGGGGATTTTAGGTGTCAAAACAGTTTTTAGGATTTAGAATTTTAAGATATAGGTTTTATAAAATCTATAATTAGTGGCATTTTTGTAAATGGACACCCCTAAGTGGCATTCTTGCAAATGTGCACACAAAAAGTGGCATTTTTGTAATTGCCCCAAAAAATATTCTCTATTAATATGCCATAAAATATTTTTGTAACCGATCCACATAGAATTTTTACATAAAATAAAATAAGCCCAAAAGAATATTTTTTGAAATGTCTTATTAAAATTATAATTTTTTGATTTATATAAGAAACGTAGGGTGTTATTGTAAATAGTTTATAATGTAATAAATGTTAAAAATAAACATCTTTTATAACAAGATATTTTTTTTTATATTTAGTAGTAAATTTTAAATTTTAAAACAACAAAACAACTTTTTCAAGTAAAAAGAAAAGTAATATTAATATTAATTATATTTAAAAATTAATTAATTTTTAATCAATAACACAACTTTATCTCAAAAAAATAGAAAATATTAACAATAATTGTATTTACGAATCAATTAATTTTTTTAAAAATAACACATCTTCATCTCAATTAAAAATAGAATTAATAATAATTATTATATTTACAAATTAATTAGTTGTTAAATCAAATAAGGACAAAAGAGATTTTTTAATTATTAAAGAGATATTTTTCAAAAACAAAAAAAAACAAGGTGTATTTTTCAAATTTTCAAACATAATTGATGTATTTTTCAAAAAATCCCAATAAATAAATGGAAATTAAGCCCTAGATTTTAGAGAGATAGCAAATAAAACAAAACAAAATATGATAATTTGGAGAGAGACAGTGTGAACAAAGAGTGCAAATCGTGGACTAATAGAATTGATGGAATAAATATAGGTAGAATATAATTGAGTGGAAATAAATAAATAAATTTCTCTAAATCATTCCGCCAATTCTACTGTAAAATAGTAAAGGAACATTTTCCTCCAAAATTTGTTCATTTTTCCATTTTTTTAGAGTGAAATAAGTTGAATTAGTATTCCACTCAATTAGAGGAATGTTAAATTTCATATTTTTTAGAGGAATGTTAAATTTCACCAATTTTTATTCAACTTAAATGGTGTAATTTTAGAAGAATGTTTAATTCCATCCATTTTTGTTTCTCTATATGTATAAAC